GTAAATTCTTATTAATACAGACAGATTTTCCAAAGCCAACTTAATGTAGGTACGATATCTTAAATCACGTTGTACCTACTAATTCAAAGTGCTCAGCGCAACAGTTCACTTTTATACTGTCATTTCACGTTATTCGTTAAAATATACGTAATTTTTAAAATTGCTGTTGCCCTAAACATATTTCAAGATCGCGATATGATAAACACTTTTATTTATTTCAAAATGGTTGTCGATGGGTGTGAAAATTCTAAATAAAGTTGACAATACAGGGTGACTGCGAAATAAGTGCAAATATTTTAACCACGGCATCCCCCACCCTAGTAGAGCCGAAATATAGAAAAAAGAAATTAAAAATCGAATGGGGCAAAACCCCCATGAACCACCCTCGATACGAAGGCACTGAGCCACCTTGTAAACAGAGTTGGAAAAACGTTTGAATAAAAACGACCTAAACACTTTCAGTTTCAATTAAAAGTAAAACCGACTTTTTGCTGCTTATCATTCGTTCATTCATTTACTCATTCATCGTTAAAGGTCAGTGTGAAAGTTTTTTGGTAATTTTGATTCTGACGGATGTTTGGTCCTTGTCACAACGATTTTACGTTGTTTATTGGAACAGAAATAAGAGCAACTTAGAATGCTACTACCTTTTTACAAGAAATGTTGAAAATGTTGTCCTTGACTAGCAATACAGGCGTCAGAGCGTCGCAAGAGGTTTGTTCATAGGTAAAAAAACACCGGAGTAGCGGGTGTCACTTTCACTTGTTGAAGCTCTTCGATAATTTCTGGACACTGTTGATTTCCACAAACGAACTGTTTCATCCAACTGATACACATTTATCGAAAACCGTCTCTTGAAATCGTACTTGTTGACGACTACGTGGAGTTCCATCGGACAAAAAGTGAGTTACACAAGGTGGACAATCAGCGGGCTATAAACCCTGTACTTTGTCAACATGGTATGGATGTGGCCGTATTCTTTTAATGTAGAATGCACTACAAGCTGTGAAAATCCAACTTCTTCTTTCTGTCCTATCACGGCCACGATCGTGAGTTTGAGGTTGAAGGTACCATGATCTCGGAGATGCTGTACCACTGATGCACCCATTACCATATCGACACAATCTGCATGGGAAAACTGCACCCTAAACCGATTTCACCGACCGCTCGATGCTAACTGGCCCTTTTCGTGTTTTTCACGTTGCGATTAAAAAAGTGCCTGATAAAGTAACTTTTTTGGTTCTTTAACCGACTCGCTCTGTTCCATTCATTGTAGTAATTATGTAGGTCACAAAACAGTCCAGCGGCGCGTACAACAATTTACATTGAATTTCAAATAATTTTTTCTAGACACTGCTACTACTTAGGACCGTGAATTTTACCCAGTGACATAATCATATTGTGAGCTATTCCCCATTTTTTTTTTTGCATGTATTTCGCAGTCACCTTGTATATCAACTATGGCAATTTTGAAATTCTTTGTTGGTATTTCAGTTATACTGTCAGAAACACGTGTGCCGGACCGTGGTAATTTTCATCCTTTTAAATTTGTTTATTTTCACAAATTTTTATAATAAAAGCATGTCGTTTTTAAATGAAAGATAACGTAAGCCAGCTTGCGTTGTCACAGACTTACAATTCTTTGTTACATTTTTGTACCTAAATGTAAAGGCGAGTGTGCGAAATCATACCCTGTTGTGTCGAGAACCATTTTGAAATATTATAAAGCGTACCAACTGACAGCAATTTAGAAATGTACCAAATGTCTTAAAAAACAACAAGTGTCAAAGAGATATCAAAATTTAAAACTTTCAAAAGTTACATTCACCATTTATTGGAATGAGCGAAAAGAATCAAACTGTCTGTATTGTCTTGTCCATTTCTATTGAATCACGACATGTTAATTTTGCTTAAAATTTAACAATTTTTAACAGCTTTTGGTTGACTGGGAATGACGTTTAGTTAGAAAATTGTCTCAATATGGACTTATGCAAATTTACGTTCAACAAGTGGTGTCTGTATAAACATACTGTACCACGATACTTTACATAACAACAACATTGAAATAACTATTATTGACTCTGATGGTGAATAAGATGCTCTAGAAGTCTAGAAGGACCTACGTTTTCACATTTTGCTGTTATCTACCAATTATTTTATAATAAATACAAATGTTTTTCGTGATTCTGTCCTTTAAGTTCGTTTACTATATTGTAATATTTATAATAGTCTCAATTTTTTTTTGGAATAAATCTTAACGTTTTCCACTTTAAATCAATTTGCAAATAAACATGCATTTCCTACTTCCTGGGCGTATTGCAATAATTGAAATCATCCTCATCAACAACATGATGACCTCACCTCAAAACGATTCATAGCAAATGTTATTTAAATTTTATAAAATAACATACTTCTACACGAATAGGTCAGATCTTAAGGCATCCAGATTTCAGGAAAAAATTGCAACAATTGTATACCAAACTTTTACTATTTAACTTACACATATTTTTTATTATAAAGAATAATAGGATTACAAAAGTAAATTTTATAATTTTTTTGAAGAAGCTGTATTGCGCGACTGTACTTCAGGGACGAGGAAAATTCTGTCTTGAGCCAATTTGTTCAACTTCTAATAGTTCGGAAATGGTTGTATTATTATTTGAGAGATAAAATATAATTTTAACAAACGGGAATAACTGTACTCATTTTGGGTAAAAATCTATAACATATCTCAACACTCCACTTACATATTTACCTATAATAAATTAATATTTGTGCTAAGGGCTTTATCAAATCAGTACATGTCTTTGCAATATTTCAATAATCCACGGATTACCAACTTCATACGACACACTTTACCGCTAGAGCTGGTTGCCATATATAACTCCTATCAATAAACGCGTTATCTCTATCGATATTATCTCTTACAAAATAATAGATTTTATAGTTAAAACTTTCTCACTGATAATCACTAATAGATGGTCTCGAAAGCCAAATTGTATAAAAAACGGGTATTCGAGACCCCTACTAGTTGCAAAATTTATACCTTTTATCAAAAATTTGCATTTCCACTTTTTTCATCTCACTTGCAATTATCTTTTGTTTTAGTTGTATCTTTATTATTAAAGATACACGTAATCACGCAAAATATTTTTAATAAATCGAAGTATCGATTGTTTTATCGTGAATCTATATCGCGCGAAATTTAAAAAGTGATTACTCGCGCTCAGTCGATTTGTTTTGAATTAAACATAATTAGAATCGTTGATTGAATGAGTATTATTCATGACACGTATGTTGCAAAAAAAATCGTTACAATGTTGAACAAAACGCGACAAATATTTTTGCATTTTGTCGTCGTTATAAAGAACAAAAAGGGTACAAAACAAAAGCTAACAAAATTTACAACTTCAGTAAAACAAATCCAACGGCAAACCATAAAACTCGACTCAATTTTTATTTTTATCCCTTAATACCATTAGCAAATCGCTTATGCCGTCGCAATGCAGGCATATAAAAGATTGAATGAGAATAATTAAAAGTAAACATTTCCATTTTCGGGTAATAAACAACGAGTATAAAAAATTGACGTCACAAGGTTCGACACAATAAAATTCTTTTCGAACAAATCAAATAAATCACTTCCACAAAGCAAAGAAATATTTTTCTTATGACAAACAAACTTAATCTTAACTTGTTTCCATGGAAAACGAAAGTAAACATGAGATACGAGAGGCGAATAAAAGAACAGATTTATTTGCCAAATTTCTCAGAGAATAGGCTTATTAAATTTTTTATTATCATGACCTAGCAGATGTATTGGTATATATTAACTGTTGAACGGGCTTAACAACTGTTGAGTTACGATGGGTTTTGCTTGGGTGCCGGCGATGTCGCTGAAGAAGTTTAACTTTAAACATATCACTTAAGAATTGATTTCTATTGTTTTGCTTTTTTCCATTATTATGTTTCCTCCACGTTTCGCGGCTTGTACAATACGATAATGTCGATTTCCCGTTTCCGTCTGTCTGTCTATTGGCGATTTTGTTTACTACGTATTCTCCAAAACTACCGAACCTATTGCTGTGGAACTTTGAACGTATTTTAAACTACAAAATTTGTTTGTGCATATCTCATTCTCATTTCTAGACATCTTGCTTTTTGGAAAAAAGTACAAGAAGCTATCGTAAACGTAGAAAACGACTATTATTTTTAACTAAATCAGCTAATCTGTCTATTCCCTCCAAAAACTTGATGACATCGTCTCAACATTTTGCAAATTAAATCATACCTAACTGTGCGAGATACTGTGATTTATCAATATTACCATATTTTATGTTACTACTCATACTTATCCAGAGTGTCTAAAAAGGTTTAGTGATTAAACGAAAAACGAACTACTACATTTTGCCGACTTTTTACTGTTTTTATTAACATTACACCATATACATCCAAATTCATATATTTGTCCTTATTAAAAACTTGATAACCATTACAAATTTTATTTAAAAAAAAACTCACTTGCCATATATAAGGTGCTCCCCAGACAAAATTTCGCGGCCTAATATCTAGAGAACGGGCACAGATATTGAAATTCTCTAAACGCCTTTACTTTTAGCTTGAAACAGGAAGCTTAATTTAGTACATCGCAAATATGTTATGTCTTAAAAAATATTTGACAAATGTTCCTATGTATTAGTTAGTATCCAAAACCGGATACGATGAGTGGTAGAACTATGCAGACAGTTATAAGCTTTCTACTCGGCATTTTTTCTGAAAAATATTTACAGCGATAGAAAACTGTAAGCTTCAGTTCAATAATTTTCGAATGTATATTTTGAAAGCATACTTCTTTTAAATAAACGATATCAATATTTTTTCACAAATGCTCAAACTTTCCCTTGGCCCATTCGTTTCTATATATATATATATATATATATATACACCTCTGCAATAAAAAATAAATAAAACCCATCTTCCAACGTTTCCTTTCTTTTCAGATTCATACGGCTGTCCAGCAGCCAGGTTTTATTCGGGTGAAAAGAGGGTATAAACCACTAAAAGTAGAAAACCTCGTGAGAAATATACAGCCACACAGGGACCCCACTGATCCGTATTTTCCATTCCAATGGTATTTGAAGAATACTGGTCAGAACGGCGGAAAAGCTAAATTGGACTTGAACGTAGAAGCTGCTTGGGCTCAGGGAGTGACAGGAAAAAATATTACCACAGCGATTATGGATGACGGTAAGTTATTTTTTCCGTTGTTAACAACATGTTGGATGTTGTGTTTGGCGGATATCGTGCACAAATAATGTCGTTTTGATTGAATGTGGAGCTGGAATAAATTGAACGGTCACGTCGGAATTTTTAATGCATTTGTCAATGTCAGGAAAACGTTCGAGAAAAATTGATGAAAGCTGTACACGAAAAAGACAAATTTAATTAACTTCGAACGTTCCTGCTTTGTGTTAGCCGGTTAAGAACTTTACACGCTGCCACTTTAATTATTGAAGAAGGCGTTTGACACTGAAAAATTCAATTACAAAACCTTTAAAACATACTTGAAAATAAAAACAGAAAGACGTACCCTATTTATTAGAAATTTTAAAATTTTTAATTAAATGGATAAGAAAATTATAAAGTAAAAAAGCTTTTCTAAGTTTATTTGATAAAAAATTGACATGTGGAGTTTCATAAAGCAAGTACAATGACTTTACACAGAACGTAATTATTAATTTTAGCAAAAGTTCATTATGTATATTTTCTAAAGGACACAACGTAATGATGGAGTGCAAATTATTTTGTTATAAATAACACTGATAATCTTACAATTTTAAATGCGAATTTTACCAGAGTATCAGATTTATAGTTGAAATACGTAATTTTTGTATAAAAATGAAAGTGAAATATAGTTTTCAATCGAACACAACACAGAAAGAATAAGAAATATAAAAAGAGCATCACGGACTCGCATAGGGTAGCGTCATAAAAATATGATACACCTAATAAAATTATTGGAATATTTAGTTCGCATAAAAAGTTAAAGGATAAAACACATAAAAATATTTTTCTCCAACCGTCATTAAAGCATGACGTTTTTTGACTATCAGGGATCTCTAAGGTTAACATTTTCTTTACTGAGATAATAAAAGATGGCATCCTAGCAACAAACAAGTCATTTTTTATCTTAGAAGCTAAAGTGTTACTTTTACTAATAATGTTTGAAAATTTTCCATGACTACATCGAAATAGGCTACTTTATTTTCCAACGAGTTTTTGGTTAATTTTAATTGTTCAAAAGCAGAAACGAAATAGTTTCGTGATTGCGGTTGGAGAAAAAATAGTATATATTATTCGGTTCTAAAGTGTCTTTTTTTGCCTCGCAATGATTGCTTTCGCTCGGCTACGCTTCGCTCCGCCTCGCAAATGAAATCATTGCTCGTCAAAAAAATTGGTCTAAAGAGTTTAAACAGTACTTCCCTCGCTGTCGGAAACGTGGCGACTGCATGTCTATTATGTTTTTTTTTCGCAGTAGATTTCAGTATTTTTTTTGAGTCACCTGGTATATGCAAATTCAAAAAATATGAATGGAATGATAAATTACAAGTACAGACTCATCACATTTTGTATATTTTAGATAGGATTTATTCGGCAAACTTTTGAGCTGACGTCATCAGTTTTTTGTAGAAGATAACCAAATATATTTTGACTAAAAATTTATTATGCTCTTTATAACCTTTAAACATTTGCAAGATTTCAAAACATTCGGTTCTGGAGTTCCTGATTAAATCAATAAAATACATTTAGCCATTCATTAATATTTTGGGGCACCCTGTATATGCAAATCCAAAAACTATGAATGGAATGATAAATCACAAGAAAAGACTAATCATATTTTGTACATTTTAGATAGGATTTATTTATCAAAATTTTGTGGTGACGTCATACATTTTTTAGGGGGATGAGCAAATACATTTTGATCAAAAACTTACCATGCTTATGATAACTTTAAAACACCTTCAAGATTTCAAAGCATTCGGTTTTGTAGTTCCTGAGTGAATCAGTAAAATAAATTTACGCATTCATTAATTTTTTTGAGTCACCCTGTATATACAAATCCAAAAATTATGAATGGAGTGATATATCACATGCAGAGATTCATCATATTTTGTACATTTTACATAGGATTTATTTGGCAAACTTTTGAGCTGACATCATCAAGTTTTTGTAGGGGATAACCAAATATATTTTGAGTAAAGATTTATGATGTTCTTTATAGCCTTAAAACATCTGCAACATTTCAAAACATTCGGATTAGCAGATTCAAAATTAAATTGCAAAATGTTGTTTTATAATTTTGTTTTTTTTTTCCAAAAATCTGGACGTTTCGGGTAAAAACTCAATTCGGAGTCGTAAACTACATGTTTAGGACTATATTATTTTATACAATTTAAAACCCATTTACTATGTACAATTTTGAAGTGACGTCATCATATTAGTGGTGGGGATGATTAGACAAATTTTGGTTAGCGTTTTACCATCTACATGATATTCCTAATATAACTACAAAATTTCACAACAATCGGTCCAGTACTTTCGGAGATTATCTGTCTAATAAAAATCCGGGACGGCAGACAGACGGACACATGGACAGACAGACGGAAATGGGAGACCTATTTCTTCGTCTTCTAGGGGTCATGAAAGATCGAGAAAACGTAAAAGTAGAGAGTCGGCCGACGGACTCGATTACAATACTTCCTTTGCTTACGCTCGGGAAGTAAAAAGATACACTTTAGAACCTAATAATGTAATATACTATTAGTACATACATAACTATTATTTGTGCTTTTATTTTAATAATTGTAAATTAACAAGGTATGGGAGGGGTGTGGAGAATAGAGTTTACTATCATGACTTTAGTTAATGAAATGTGAAAATACGTTGCCCCTGTCACTTATTTCCCTAGACTGAAGTCATCTCCACAAATGAAAGGAAAATTTAAATTAGAACTTCAAGAAAAGCACTGACGCACCCGTGAGTTCTTCTCGTCAGTTTCTCTTTAGCATAAAATCTAAATTTGATACAAAAGCGAGTGTGCGATGTCGCTAGCTCTATGTAATCTGAAGCTGACAAAGTGAATTTAAATAGTTAAAATTTACATTAAGAAAGCTTCTAATAAACAACTTGTGTTAATTCCTTCTTATATACAAAATTAATCAACAGTATCTTGTAAATCCGACAGTATTATCTTTCTCAATAGACTCTTAACGGAATATTTTAATGTAACATAAAGCACTTGCGTTATTATTAAGAGAAAATATTAAGATCTTGTTGATAAATATATTAACAAAACTAAAAAGGAAATTATGCCCTCCAGCAGACAAATTAAACGTAAATGTTTGCACAGTAATCGAGAGAATCGTAGCTCTTTTAACTTCCATTAAATTAAAAAGATTAATATAATTTTACATTCAAGTTGGCAGGATTTGATTAAAAAAAATCCTAAAAGATAATATACAATTCTTAGCTTAATTAACATGCACGGTTCGCTTTCTCCAAGAAAATATGTCCCAACAGAGTCGTCCAAAACACTAGACTGTAGGGATTTTTCACGATAAAAGTAAGTTTAAACGGGATTTTTCATAAATGTATGTAGTAAATACGTAATAAGGATATAGAAGATATTCAGAAAAAAAAAATAAGGGCGAGTAAGCACCAACTTGGAAAATATCCTATAAGTCCATTAATTTATTATGTTTACATAATCCGGGTACAGTACAATTTACTTTATCAAGGTCGGTTAAATTGGAAACAGCAGCGTGTATTATGGCTATTAATAATCTAGCACAAATTGCAAATTTGGTTTAACAGGGTATAAAAAGGCGTTTTTTAAAGTTTTTGAATCATAAATAAAAGTTCGTTTTGCTATGTTACGGACGAAGAGAACGTGGAGAAAAGTAGAATTTTCTGCATCCCTATAGCAAACAAAGTTTAGAGACACCTTTGAAAATCACTGAAAGCATCCTCGCGCTCAGAGAATACAACATTGAAAATTAATTAAACAAACAGTGTACTCTTGAACGCTTTAAAACCATTGTTTAAGTTTGCTAGGTTGAGGTTTCTCCAGACAAGCAACGAACCTTCCCAAATAATTAATTAGGCGAAAGTCTTCCGGAAAGCCGACAGAATTCGTGAGTCGAACAAAATAAATGAGTTGTTACAGTTTACAAATTATTCGTACACAGATGTTTCGCGTGAAATTCAAATTGTTCACTCATTTGAGTTATCTTAAACGATGCAAGTCCAAACTAGTGCGTGTACCGAGAAAGCAATAAAAACACGATCAATATGCATTTTTTAAGATTTTTTGTCTTTGATCGCTGCATTTCAAAGTCAAACTTGCAAATCTGACCAAATTAAAATCAAAGACAAATCTTGAAAAATCCATGGCTGCTTTAATCGTGTTTTTTATTTGCTCTCTCAGTATAACTTCTGTAGTCGTAGATAAAATTTTGTCTGTTAACTTATTAAGTATTATCATATCATATTATGTAGTCTGACTACACAAACTCGTTATGCTCCAACGTCGTACTCGTAGGTGCTTTTACTCCACTTGCTGCGTAAACAACTATTACAATTTCTATAAAATATTTCTGACAACTTAAATAGTCGGAAGGTCTCGCTGTAATTGTAATATTAAGCCGGGTGTGTAAACAGTCAACGAACAAAATTGTTACCATTAAGCTAATAACGAAAATTTTCATTTTCTTTGTCTTTAAGAGACTATAAAGTTTCAGACTGAAATTATGTAAATCAACGACAATTATTAGATTTTCTTTTAATATTATGTCAAAGGTATGACCCCAAATTTTTATTCTCCTGGCTGTTTTATTGATTAGTGTGTATATGCAAGAAACTATAGATATTAAATCTGATTTAAGGATTAAATTACCACCTCGTGTCATGTACAATTTCGTTAATACCTGGTTTTCCAACTCTTATACATGAATAATTAATTACCTTGTTAATTACTCAAAGAATATGTATTTTAAGTTTTGTACTATTTACATACTTAAAAACATGTAGCTCCAATTTAAATCTGATACAACTAAATCAAACTTAGTAATAACGAACATCGCATGTTATTTGTACCTATTTGGTTAATAAATTAATATTCTGGACCTGCAAACAGTTAAAGTTTTATGAGTAGGGCCCGGACTTTGGGTTTTTTGCCTTTTTGTTCC